AATTGGATACACCGGAAATTTTCTAAATTTCTTCCGGTTTAAGGACGCTTGTTATTGTTTACATTAGATCACCCATCCATAACATAAAATTTTTAAAGGTAAAACCTTTACACGCATTGAGAATATATGTAAAGGTAATACATACATTATCAATCATAATCTTATATGTTTCATAATTTTAATCACCTAACTTGAATTTTAAAGCAAAACTTTCGATATTTTTAAGTAAATTTAATTTCAAACATTACTTTAATAGTTAGTTTACTATATTGACTATATATCTATTTCTTCTCTATGATTTTAATTGCTTTTTTTTTTGTACTAGGTAACAAAGGCCTCCAAACTTTTTCTATATAACTATGGATATGAATATTGCAATTATTGTCATAACTATATAGCCTGAAATAATCAACAGAAGACGTTATACTTGTCCATTTGGTTTTATTAAATGCTTTTCAATCACTAAATAAAACGTCTTTCCAATTTTAGTGCAATTTAAAAACCCGAAGCCCAACAAATGTGAAAAAAAAGTACTTTCTCTATTATATTTTGGCTCATGAATGTTTTAAGTGTGAGTATGACTATTTTAACCTTTTGTCACTCCATCATCAACTAACGTAAGTAAAATCTTGAATACTTACTGCTAACTTAGTTACTGCATATTAGGGGATAACTTGTGCCGCCGAGATTTTATTTTTCTGTTATTACATTGTAAGTTTCACAAAACTTTCACACAAGTAAACATAAAGTGTAACTCCAGAGACCCAAGTTTTACAACAATTAATGAATCTCTGAAGTAAATGCCTTTGTACTGGCAAAAAGTGCCTTGTTAACTCCGAATGACGGTACTTATTAGTCAGATAACGCACATCTTGTAGTAAACAATTTGTCATAACGCGAAAAGGTGAAAACTTTCGACTATGCGAGAATACGGCGCATTTTTGAACAAAGATTTTAATATGTATTTTTATATTTTTTATTATTTTTGTATCTATATTGATAAGCAAGCAAGCGAGATTGTGAGAACAATTGAATTTTCACGCCCTGTCGAAAAGGAAAATATCTCTCGTTAGTTTTCCATTAAAAAAAAATAGGCGAAGTCTTTAACCACCGTTATTAATCATTCAATGAATCAACTTCCTAAAAGTTATTGGCGTTTCTGATTACGAAATCAACTAAGTTTTAACTTATGAAAACCGACACACATCCTTGATATTCACACTCTCGATTTTAGTAGTTTCTTAAACGTTGAGTTAAATTAACATATATTAAAATAGAAGAGAAATTTTAAAACTATATAAAAGAAGTCATCATACGAAAATATCCAATGAAGATAGTAAAAAAATAACAAATATTGATGAGAATACTGACTTATTTTTCATCAACTGTTTTTGTTATCAACTCGTAATCAAATGAATTAGCATGCGCGTAGCTATAGGGAAACATATCAACATACCATCCTACCCTAATTATTTTCAGAAACCTTCGAATTTTGTCATTGTTTTTACTTTTTTTAACCTCCCAAAAAAGCTATTACTTATTAAATAATCAAAAATTTTAGATTGCTTACATATAGTTTATCCCTTTATGAGACCGTAGGAAGTATACTTCTCACTAAATTCAATAATTTTAAGCATTCGATGTATATTCTTATCTATAATTTCTGTGGCCATCAGCTCATAACTTCAAGAAATGCGAAACAAATACCAATGAAGGGCTTTGTTTAAATAAAAATGGGCAACAATAAAGGTAAGCGTGAGTTCAAGAAGAGAAGAGAGAAAAAAACTCTTGCAATTCAAACGCAATTATTTCAATAAAGTTTCAAGTAGTATTACTACTTTATAATAGTAGTTATTTGTTATTTAGTCTATTTTGAGGAACAATATTTATTTATTTATATATATTTTTTTAAGTTTGAATGATTTCATGTCAACACGGCGGATTAATTTTCACAGGAACTTCTTTCTGTCAAAAGTTTTTTAAGTATAGTAATAATTCTTCTTCTTTCATGGAATCCAAATTATACGAGGAATTTTAAGCATGCTTTGAATATGGAATTTATTCCTTAAATCTATTAAGAATAAATTACTAGGAAAAAATTGATGTACTAGCATTCTTTAACATTCTTACAACTTTTAATAAATTGTTACAATAAATTCCATCTGAAATGAAAGGTCCTTTTTTTATTACTATTTTAATTTAAATATAACATACATTTTCTGCTCCTAAATTTTTTAATACAATGTGTTCCGTAATATTTTATTAGATTAGCAAGCAACTTTTAAATTTTGACACTAGACTTGGAGAAAGCTGCCAAATGCTTATAAATTATAAAAATTTGCAGAAAACATAATTAAACGCATAAAAATTTTATTATATTTATTTATTTTTCAGATTTTAATGGCTTCAAATACCTGAGAATTTTACGATTAAATTACCGACGCATTCTATGATAGATTCGACTTTCTTAAACTTTTCTGGCAAGCATTAAAAACGAAATAATTTATTTACTAAATAAAAGATGACAAAAATTAAAAAAAAAAAAAAATTCCATGGCGTGAGATTTGAGAAGCGTGTGACTACTTCACTTATTATAAGTCCATTTTAATTTGCATTTAATATATATTTTCATCTCAAATATACATTTCGTTTTTGAGATAATAAGGATCGTAATAGACTGTGCACTATTTTTAATTAAACAACTGAGTTTGAAAACTGAAATGAAATTCAATTCATATAAAAATAATTTCCTATTATATACTTACAGGATTGGAAATTAATTGAACAACATTTAAAAATCAATAATATTTATTTCATTATCAAGGAATGACTAATTCCTCGATCTTGAATATGCGCCTTTATCTTTATAAATAACTGATTTAAAACGAAACATTTTGTCACCACTTTATTTTATTTCGTTTTAAAGAATGGAAAAATACCAAGAACGACACTTGTCATTGTTTTAAAATATGTCTTTTGAATGAATACGTTCCATAACCTATCGTGTACAACAAGCAAACTTTTTAACTATGGCCGATCTAAGTTACTAACTTTTTGTTAAATGTAGATAATAACTTTTTCATTTAAAGTCATTTTTAATATATTTTCTTTTTTCTACCAATTATATAATGTTTTGATTGAAAAAGAGCGTGTGTAACATAAATTATATCAAACGAACAATGTAATAAACAATTTTCGAAAAAAAAATATTTATGCCTCTCCCCCCCCCCCCAAAAAAAAAATTTCTTTTTTTTACTTTACGACAACTTTAAGCAATTAATTAGTGAAAAGTAAAGTATACAGGGTGTCTCAAAAATGTTGCGACCAACTTTTAGGGGAGGTAAAATGCATGACAAGGTTTAAAAGCTTTATAACAACCCGTATCCAGCAATTTCTGAGGAAAGTTGTTAAAAGATATGAAAGGACACAGAAGAATGATTAATTGAAAACCTGTGTATCGTTAGTGCGAATATCGTACTACATTAGAACAAATTAAAATGTTATAACATAAATTCAAAATTTGCACCATAAGAAGCTATGAATGCCAAACACATTGATTTCTTTAATTGCAACCACAGCTCAGACGGGGCTTGCCGCGAGGTCCATTGCAAATTTCATACGGTTTGGAATATATAATAGCTTTGATAACTCCCCACAGAAAAAAGTCAAAGTTCAGTGAATCGAGTAAACGAGGGGGGGGGGGATACCTTGCAGCAACCATGCAGTGCTGCTAGATGCATATAAACATTACAGCGCTCAATAACATCTCCAATTATGAGTTACTAAGCCATTAGAGCTCCCAATACAACACATTTCAACCTTTAGGCGTCCAGAATTCTAACACTAAATCCAATGGTTGATTGAACAAGACTCATTTACGGATGACTCATATTGGTTGATATAGACATCTCATAGATAACCCTAGTCGGAACGTCTATAAAATGACCTAGATCACCAAAAAACATCCAATTGAATATAGCCTAAGGTCAAAAATTAGAAGAATCATAGAAAAAACATTTTTCATTGATTTTTAAATAGTTGGAAATAATTTTAATTACAACGATTCAATGAGAAATTAATGTTAATATATTTATATAGTAAATTATATCAAACAAATTTTTAAACTAGATCAGTGACAACTGCATTCATACACTGTAAAAAATTTCGAGCTATGTTGCACCAATCATTGGTATTCATTTGCTGGCTACAGAAATTGGTGTTCAGTTTTACTATGTATTGGTGCCTTCACTAGCTCCAAACAACGCGAGAAGGTTGCACCAAAAATGGGATTTTGAAAGAACTTAAAAGCAGCGAAAGGTTGCACTAAAAATCAGTGCTTTGAAAAGAACTAAAAATGGAGGAAAGTTGCACCATGATTTGATATTTTTGAAGGGGAACTAAAAGCGAGGAAGGTTGCACCATTATTAGGTATTTTTAAAGTGCTAAAAAGCAGGGTGAGGTTGCACCATTATTAAGTATTTTTGAAGCGCCAAAAAGCAGAGAAAGTTAGCATTATTATTAAATATTCATTAAAAAAAGAGCAGATAATTTAAATGATATTTATATAAATCAAATTATAATTTAATTATTTAAATCTATAAAAATTTAAAAAAAACTATTTTTATTTTAGATGTGTGTTACGTAACATATATATATAACATAACACATCTAAATTAAAAATAGATTAATTTTCATAGATTTAAATAATTAAGTTATAATTTGATTTATATGAATTTGACTAAATTATCTTTTCTTTTTTTTTAAATAATATTTAATAATGATGCTAACTTTCTCTGCTTTTTGGCTCCTTAAAAATATTTTCTTTCATATAAAATTTTTTTCTTTCTTCAAGTTGATATATGTCAGATTAAAATTCTTTTTTACATTTCATTCGTTAAAGAACCAACCGATGCTATAGAGTTAGTACCACTAAGGTTTTAAAGAGAATTTTAATTTTGGGCTGAAGCAAATTCTTATTACTATGTATTTTGAAATTATTTTATTATTTAAAAATGAAAATAATGCTTTCACAAATAAAAATTTATATAAAAGAGTAGGCAAATATTGGATTGGTCAACCCCCAATCTCTAATTAAGGAAACATTCCAATATTAATTACATTGGCGTATGTATTACATTGTACATACGACATACATTGGCAATATTAAAAGTAAATTAAGAAATGTAAAAATAATGATATAACTTAGAAATATGAACAATAAATATACAGATGCAGATCGATATTCAAACATAATTTATTCAATTACAATCACTTTGATGTCTGTATACATAGACAGAATATAGTAATTTTTATGCAAAATCTTAACATTTAAATATATTATACTTTTTATACATATCACATCATTCATTAAAAAAATACAAAATATTCACTCAAAAATATGATAGATAGTATGTTTTTGTTACTAAGAGAGTGCATTCAATTCAAACTTATTTTTAATTTATTTAGTAAAAAAATATTAATAAGAAAATTTATTTTTAAAGAAAATTATAATAAGAAATCAGCTTATTTCTAAATGCTCTAAAACAAATTTGTTTACATTAATGTTGTTCTGGTCGGTATTTTGTTCAAATTTCAATAAGATTCTTGGTAAATAAAAAAAAATTTAGCGCTTTGTTTTCCTTAACGCCAATATGTTTCTTTGTTGCTTTTTTTCCTACCTCGTGCGCCAAAGAAAAACCCAGTTTCCGGGACAACGGTTGCCTTCTGGAAATCTCAAGTGCTAATTTGAAATTTGAATGGAAATATAATTCGCTTTGAAAATTTTACAACAAAGGTATTTAAGAATGTATAGACAAAAATTCTTGTAATTATGTGACATTACAAACGAAAATGAGCTATATAGAACCTGAAAATCAAAACAGAAGCATAGAAGTTGATAAGAAGTTTGAATCCTAACAGAAAGTACATATATTTTTGTTGTTCGGTAGAATGCAATCAAAACACGGAACTAGAACATTTTCACCAGCAGTAAATTTGGCGGAAAGCTATGTTGCTTAAGATTGTCGTATTTACTGTTTATTTGTCACTGGTATTGCACTTTCTGTGCGCATAAAATGGATGTATCTCCTTATTTATTGAAAAAGAGCTAATATATGCTTTACAATATCTAATTATTCATAAAACGAATATAGTTTTCTAGAAGAAATTTGAAACTATCTCTTTCAGAATACACAACAAAATTTTTAAAGATGACACGAAAGAAATAAACTGTAATTATTGCAAATAAATGAGAAAAGTTTACTTACTTGCAAAAGAAATAGACGATTTCAAAGACAACTTGTGTGAGATGATAGCAAACTTTGACAACAAAATTCGCCATTAGTCAACAGCTACAAAATAAGGTATCGGTTTAAAGCTCGCGCCTGTCATAGTACGAAAGTTTGGTGCAATCGATTGCGCCATAAACGCATTTCTTGATCATATTTACCAATTTATGGAGCAACCTAAATAAAATCGTTTTTCATTTATCCAATTTACGGTGCAATTAGAAACTTTGCACCAAGTATTGGTTAAGCATTTACCTAGATTTTTTACAGTGTAGGTGAAGATTTTATATCAAAATAAAGATATTCCTTGAGTTTTTAAATTCGAAAAAATTTACACCACGGGAAAATAATGACAACATGTTGATGTAAAAAGAAAATTTTGAAATAATACTTCAAATTATTTCTAATGGCAATTTATTTAGAACAAGAGCCGGCAGACGTACAAAATTAATCAGACCCCTCCATTACCCACCTGCAGGCAAATTTCAATCAATATCTTACTGGCGACGGAGTGTTTGGATTAAGCAAAAAAAAAATTTTTTTTTTCAAAATAGTTGATAAATGTGCTTACTGTAAAAACATACAAACAATAGAACACGTAATTTCTTTTATTAGGTGGGCCAACGTTGCTCCCACAGTAAAGACAGATGGTACAGAGAAGGAGAGAACATCCATGCCCTGCCCGGGATTCGAACCCAGAACCTTTCTGATGCAAGGGCAGTTCCTTAACCCCTAGACAGGCCGGTCGGCGAACACGTAATATATGAGTGCTCAAATTTCCAAGCCCTCCGTGGAAATAATTTTGATTCTTAAACTACACATAAATTTTTTTTTTCGAGTATTGCCAGCAGGAACATTATTAAAGCTATTGTTAAAATAACACTGGAGGACCTGCTGGCTCCAGAATGAAATGACCGACTCTTCATCTTCTTTACTTGATCCATCCATTGCCTTCTTGTATTTTACCTTCTGAAAATTTTTACTGGATTGGTATTTAAACTGAATGTTTTACTATCATTCTATTCCTTTTAATAATTTAATTTTCTACTCACATTTTTTTTATCAGTCTATTTTTAACTGTCTCTTTTATTTTTAAACTTTATCTCTTTAAATTTTATACACTGATGGCCTTTTGCCTGTTCTTTTATTACAACTTCTTTTTAAAGCAGTTTTTTCTCTTAGCATGCCTTTAACTTAGAATTTTACATCCTTTTAAATGATGGACTTCAATAATTGCTCTTTTTATATTACCGCTGTATTTTTTTTAACTTTTTTTTTTTTTTTTTAGTCTTCTGTTCAATGTTTTATCGCTCATTGACTTTTAGATCAATCTTTTTATCTTAAAATTTCAGCTTAGATTTTTTAGGGTCTTACACCCTCCTTTGAACTTTTCATATTTTATTTATCCTCATTTTATACTCTCAACTTTTAGCTTGTCATGTCTGTGATTTTGTTGCAATTTTCTCTAGATACTCCAGCTGTCGGCGGAGAATCTTTAAATTGGCTTGTCCTGCTTTGTTTTAACTTTTTATAAATGTTAAAATTTATCTACGTTTTTAATTGTGCAGCTGCACAACTTCTATATTTTACTAATATATACTCTTAATTCTATTATCAGCTGCACTATTAAAAAAGACCTGTTACTCTTATCAGTTTGTTTACTAGTAAAACTGATAAGAGTGATTCTTATGTTTTTCAATTTATGTTAATAAGTTCTGTTACGTATAATTACTTGAAAGCTGTTGACATTTTTAAATTTTTCTGATTTTGTATAATAAATGCCACGGGGGGGGGGGGCTTCACCGGTGCGTGCACTAGTATGAACCTGTCTCTCCTCTCCTGAGGGCAGCTTATTGCTGTCGCAGCAATAAGTCTGTATCTCCCCACATACCCAAAATTGGATGGGGCGGGTTATTAAACTCCTAACCGTCATCACTGATGCATCAGTCTCGTTTCCAGTCAATATGAAAGTCGACTACTGCTTTTTGCGATTAATTTGCTACATTGCTCTCTATCTTCAAAAATTCTCAACATTAGATTTCGGAAGACCTCATCTATTAATTATTAATGGTGACTGAGCCCTTAAGTGTTGATCTTAGATTTGGATATACCTTAATTTTTGTGCACTATAATCTTATGATCCATTTCAGCGATTAATAATTCTTGGTCTTAGGAAATAAAAGAGGGGGTTAAACTATTCTTGCTCTTCCTGTATAATAGTGGGAAAGGTCAGAATTGTAATTCTATCATTATACCTGTACTAGTATTACACAGAACTATTTACAATTGTTTTAATTGATAGTTTTGTATTCACTAATAAAGATTTGCAGCAGTAGAAATTAGTTAGAATTTGGACACTTTCAGTCAGTTTTTATTCCCTTAAAACAGTTCTTTGATTTCATCTTTAGAAAGATTCTAGAAAGACATGTTGATAGATAAGTAATTTATTTATGACGCACTAGAAGTGCAAAATGAACTATTGGCGAGGGTCTGGGAAACCCCTTTGAGAATGATCCGAAGACATGCCATCACAATTTTGATCTTTTGCAGAGGGGATGACTCCCCGCTATGGTAGCCCGACAACCTGAGCATGAAATCGCGCAATTAACGGTAGAAAATTTTAACGAGGACTGACACTACACAGGCTGATGAAAGTGGTCACCCAACCACTTGCTGTTCCCAGTGAGTGATGCTTGACTTCTGTGTTATACTGGGAACCGTGTCTTTACGATGGGTTCACTACGGGAGGAAACATATTGATTGTAATCATTACAAAACATCCCAGAAGTACAAAATACATTTACCAGATAAAAAACTTTTACAGAGAGATATTGTGGTCTCATATGGTTTCTGAAATTATTTAAAGCTACGTTTAATCTAATGAAGATTTTATCTCATTTGATGAGCTTCGAGAAAGAACATGCTAAGTGGAATGATTTTATGTAAATCAGCTTCAGAATGTATAGAAAATTCAAAGGGTATAAAACTTCTAAAAAGCATTTTTTCTCATTTAATACTACTGTATTTGAAACAAAATGAAAAATCACTTAGTTTCTTGTTTGTGCTTAAACATAAAAACTTTTTTAATATTGGAATGTTTTCAAATATCACTTTTTCATTGTCCTTTCACTTAGCTTTTTCCATTTTGCTAATGGTAGTAGTAGTTGTTCATTTTACGTCGCACTGGAGCTGCAAAATGGGCTATTGGCGACGGTCTGGGAAACATCCCTGAGGATGACCCGAAGACATGCCATCACAATTTGATCCCCTGCAGAGGGGATGGCACCCCCGCTTAGGTAGCCCGACGACCTGCACGCGAAGTCGAACACTTTATGGTAGAACAGTTTAACGAGGGCCAATACAGCACACCCTCGGTCCCTAAACAGACTGATCCAAGTGGTCACCCACCCGCACACTGACCGCAGCCAGTGATGTGCTGGGAACCGTGTCTTAACGATCAGTCCACTGCGGGACTTTTGCTAATGGTGCCTTAGTTTGTAATGTCATATCTAATAAAGTATTTAGATATCCATAACTATTTTCTAATTGCTAAATTCATTTCAAAAATTTAAATTAATTGAATTCAAATAAAACAAAATTATTAAAAGTGCGGTAAAGCAAAACTACTTCATCAAAAACAAGACAACATTCACAAACAAAGAGCTAAAGGGATGAACGAGTTAAAGATTATAAAGAAGTTCAGCAAAATTAAGATATTAAACAAGTTTTAAAAAATTTTAGGCCTTTTTATTCCAAACATGACGAAATAATTCATCTAGGGTATCAATTAATAGTTAAAAACATACTAGACATATTCGCATCTAATATAATGTTTTGAAACCATATCTTCTCTTTTTTTAGGATTCCACTGAAGTGAAAATGAAATTTTAAAGAACAACAGTCAGCAAACTAAAAAATTTCCTAATTCATGTAATTAAAAGATGGCTCACAAGGGAGCAGCTTTTAAAATAATTGATCATTTTTTTAAAAATGAATCATCAAAAAACCTAAAGAGTAGATTATATCTTTCAGAAAACTGTAAACTGTTTCCAGAAAATGCTTATTTATGCTCTTCCAATGTTTCACGTATGACTAAATTTACAAATTGGACTGAGCCGCATTGTTCATATATTGAAGGACATGAAATTCGAAATGTTTTAGTGACATTTTTTGTCATGTTAATTGTGTGCATATCTTTATTTGGTAATTCCATTTTATGTAAGATTGTTTTTTTTACAAAACGCAGATCTGCAACGAATATATTTATAGGAAATATCTCTATCTCTGATATTTTATTGACTGTCATCAATGTACCAATGCAATTTATTAGCCTTGTATTACTTAACTGGCCTTTAGGTTTAGTCATGTGCAAAAGTATGAGGTTTGTCCAAAATTTATCAGTTACAACATCATCTTTCACAATGGCTTGCATTGCTTTACACAGATACTATTTGATAGCACACCCATTAAAAGCTAAGCCAACATTGAAAACAACAATCAGAGAACTAGCTTTTATTTGGATTTTAGCAGCAATGATATCACTTCCGTATGTTTTTATGGCCCAAATTCAGATAACATATTCATGTCAAAAGTTAATTCGCTGCAATATATTTTATCCCGAGCCTAAACATCAAAATCGAAAAATATTTACTTTACTATCGTTTTTTCTGTCCTATATAATACCTCTTGCTTTAAGTGCTATTGCATATATTCAAATTTGCAAAATTATCATGAAAAGAAACATAGTTGGCTTTGTAACACGTGACCAAATAATCTATCATAAGGCAGCTAAACTGAAGACCATTAAGCTGTTGGTATCTGTTTTAATAACATTTGCATTATGTTGGCTACCAATAAATATATATCATATCTACCGTGATTTCTCAAAACCATTTATTGAGAAACACAACTCAAGTATATATGTAATTTGTCACATGATTGCAATGAGTAGTGTATGTTTTAACCCATTTATTTACTTTTGGATGAATAAGAAGTTTAAAAAAAGTATGAAAACTTATTTGAAAAATATACTCAATGCTGGGAAAATTCAAAATTGCAGACCGTTTACCTTAATTTCTAAAAGACTACACAGTTATCAAGCTGTACAAAATGACACAGCACTCCAAAATGAAGATTGTAATAATCATTTTAAAGCAACTGAAATGCAACGAATATCAGAGGAAATGAAGAGCAAAAGAAAGCAAAACTGTGTTCCTCCAAAACTTGTTTCAAGAATAAATCCAAATTTTTTTTCATCTCTGCCAAATATTCATGAAATATGCGAAAATCGAAGTTCTAGGAAAAAACATAGAAATTTATTTGCATCAATAACTTCTACCAATATTTGTGAAACTTCAGTGTAACTATAACATTTTAATCATTTGTACTGTTATAAAAAAGTAGTTACATTCTTTACATAGACGAGAAAATCCTGCAATTTTATTTGCCTGAACCTAGATATTTGATGTTTGAATGAAGATCACCAGTAGATATTGTTATAAGTGTTTGTATTTTCTTAATTACTAATAAAATGCTTAATTATTTAGTTGAAATATTATCACATACTCTATTATGCAATTTTTCAAATTAATAAAAAAACTGTAAAAAAAATAAATAAAACCATTCAAAAATATACCATAATTAAGTTTACATTACTTCCAAATAACTCCACACCTGTTACTTTCCAAAGGGGACTAAATAAGGAAACCCTTCTATCGGAGACTTAAGAGTCCAGAAATCTTCACAGATCCTGGTACAGTATACCCTCGCTATCTCGAACTTCTATATCTCATAAACCTTATTATATCCAAAAATATTTTTCGTCCTGCATTACATATCCACCTAATGTTAATTTGAGTTCCAATGTCAAAGAGTTTCTTCTCAAAACCTTGTTATGTCAAATAATTTTTGAAATGCAAAATGAAATTTTTTTTTGGAAAAATTACAATGCAAGTTTATATTAAAGCAAATCTTTTCTATTTAAAGCATAATTGTTTTTTTTTTTTTTTTAAATTATCAGTGCTGTATTTAGACTTATTGTCAACTATGATAACATACATAATTATTCGTAGTTATTCTTATGTTTTACGATTCTACATTTTTTAGTACTATTTTAGAAAATATTTTTGTACTTTTTTAAACCTATTTAGCTCTGAACTGGTTATTTCAAAATTTTTTTAGCTTCCCTTTAACTTTGAGATATCGAGAGTATACTATATATTTATAAAGTATGCTGTCCTGTTATAACAAAATTTGCAGGAGAGAAATTAGCATTATTATACACAAAAACTTAACAATGCAGGTTCAAAGCATAATGTTAATATAAAATGTTTCCTAAAAAAATTATTTATTCCAGCAAACTATCTGTATTGTAACCACTAAAATTTCCAGATTACATTTTTTTCTCAATTAAAAAAACAAAATATTTTCTAGTTCTGACTATTAAAGACAAAATGCATTTGACTCTGTTCACAGCACCATTTTATGTTCACAACAAAGTTTCATTCTTATGAAATATTTTTTTCTGTTAACTTACAATGAAATAAACCAAATAGCTTTACAAAAAAAAAAGTTTTTTTTTCAAAATGGAAATAATATAGCTAACAATTCATGCTTTTATAATCATCTCGTTATCAAAAATAAAAAAGATAACTAATGGCCATTATTAGCTATACATTCATGCAAAGAAGCAAACAAATTTCAAAAAAAAAAAAAAAAAGAAATGTCTACTTCCCCAGGGTTAACACAAAATAAATATCGCAAGAAATAAAATTTCCCAATGTTGTCACTCAAATATGATTCATAAAAGAATATGGTGTCGAAAAATAAAAACAGTGTAAAAGAAAAGATCTAAGTAAACATTTTTAAAGAATCTTTATTTAGAGAAGTTATTAGCTTTTTTTTCATTACTTTTCATATCACAATTATTATTACACTATCTAATGAAATAGCTTAGCTTCCAACAACTGCAATTATAAAAAAATATACAATTTTAAACTTGATATTCCAGAATTGCATTTGAATTTTAAAATTATACAGATAATTAACTATGATACTTAAAATATAGAAATAAATTTGTATAAAACTTTCAATTATAAAAATGTTAAATAAGAGTAAAGTTAGAAATTAAATAGAATATTTAAATTTTACTAAAAAAAGATTGAATCATGCAGATTATTACTTCAATAAATAAGATTAACTCATTTAATTATTTGGAAGATTCAATACATTATTCAAATTATACAAATAAAACATTATTTAAATTTTACAAAAGAAAAGAAAAAAAAAGATTGAATCATGTAGATTATTACTTCAATCAATAAGATTAATTCATTTAATTATTATGAAGATTCAACACATTATTTAAATTATACAAATAAAACATTATCTAAATTTTACAAAAAAAAAAAAAAAAAAAAAAAAAGATTGAATCATATAGATTATTACTTCAATAAATAAGATCAATTCATTTAATTATTAGGAGGATTCAATTCATTATTTAAATTATACAAATAAAACAAATACATATGTCCCTTGCATATGGAATGGACTATCCTGTTGCTACACACAGTTCAGCAAACAGGATAAAATAGTTTAATTCTGAGAAATCTGCAATAATTATTTTTATTACATAACAGATCATTATTAAATTGACTTTGTAAAGAAAACTATTTAACATACTTTTAAATAGACAATTCATTATAGTCAATGGAATTCATTAATCCCATCAACTGCTATACACAGCAATATCACAATCGTATGACATGAAAGATATTTACACTCTGCAACAGCAATGCTGTAGCAAATCATGAGGCACCACTTTGGAAAGGCAGTTAATGAACCTTTTCTTTTTCAAAAGTATAATAGGTACTTCAACAGTTTTAAAGTACTTATCTAAATATAAGGAAGCTCTCATGATTAAATATATTTGGAGGACTAGGGGAGGCACACAAAATTCCTGTGTAATTTCTCAGTCAACAGTTCCTGAGAATTCAGGCAGTAAATCCTTTCGTAGATTTGATGCTTTAAATGTAGATACAATTAAAGAAACTGTAAAACTAAAACAATTTTAAATCAGTTCAAATGAAAACCTTTTTCTCTAGTTGCCGCTAAAAGCCTTTCTTTCATAATTTCTTCAGATGAATAATCAGGTAGCTTCAAATAATGAGCACAAGTATTTACAGAGGGATAGCTGCCATCTGTTGCATCCACTTTTCGAACAACAGTTAATCTTGGGTGAAGATTGGCTAAGCCACCAGGAGGCAATGATGAGCAACCAGTGGCAAACTGTAGAAAAGATTTTCGTTCTTTGCCATCCATCTTAATTAACACATTAACAAAATTTTGAAATCCTTGACTAAAAGAGGGAGAGAAATCTCAATAAACTGAAAACTTACAGTTACAAAAAATGTTCTACATACAATGATGAGTTTAGTAAAAAACTGAAAACATCAATCTAAAATGGTATGTGCAAAACACATTTTAAATAATTAAAAAAACCCCTGAAATTTGAGCAAAAAAAAAAAAAAAATGCACGCGGGACGCATATAGCCATAGAATATTATTAACATGATGATGTGCTAAAAAAAAAAGACTCATTCCTGTTAATATACAAGAACATACATGCAAAGAGTATTATGTCTGATATTTCGAAATACAGTTGAGTAATTATAAGTGATGTGATAGATATTATTATCACATACATCACATTTGTAAAAATGGAGAAGTATTAATAAGTGATGTGACTGGATTTTTGGTAGTTTGGAGTAGCCTAGAGCAGTTACAAGAGATTATAAAAATTATGCATTTTATTTCTGATTTTTATTTTAATTTTTTTTTCATTTCTAACGAAAAAGACTTCAAGTGGAAGAAATTTACTTTAACAATAGTAACAGTATTACAGAAGACTTAGGAAACTTGAAGCTAAGAAACAATTTTAAAAAAGTTATTAAAACTTTTAATTTATAAATTTTTTTACTAATAATTGTTTTATAAAAGTTCACTTTATTTGATGCACTAATTTTTATATATTTGTAATTCAACATAAATAAACAGAATGCAAAGATTATAAAACAATTTAAATTTCAGTCTACCTAAAACAAGAAATTAATATTATACCTTGTGTTACGCATATGTTAGACTTGACAAAAATAGATTCAATTTTAGCAATTATTGCAGCATTATTACATGTTGATTTGCATTTTTTAATAATTAATATATTATTAATAAATTATAAGATCCAAAGCCAGGTTTCAATTTATAAAAGACCACTATATTTAATTCCCAAAAACTACACAAATTAGTTCTGCACTTAGAAAAAATTTCAATTATGAATATAATTAATAACAAGCCTGAATAATAGAAAATTGTCTGTAAAAAAGTAAGAAAGTATTATTTCTTGTAAATATATCAATATATTTTTTTAACAGTCAAAAAATTTTGTGATTGTTTTGTTCGTTAGTTGCATCCCTTTAAACTCCCAGACCCAATTAAAATAAACTACATGCTAAAAAATACAAATTCAACAATTGTAGCTACCAGGATATTCTATTTTCTCAAAGTAATATTGATCGGATGGTGATAGATATGAAAATTTATTTCGATAGTTGAAACTAATATAAAGACATTTTCAACTTTTTTATAACAAAATTGACATCAGTTAATTTCTTAAACGGTGCATACAAACTATGGTGAAGTCCTATATTCACCAAAATTCATATTTTGCTTCTGTAATATTTAAATTTTTGAATCACAAAACAGCATTTAATGCAATATTGAGTGAACAAAATGAGGAGGGTAAATTCAATGGACAGATTAATAGAAGGCAGAAGATTTGAGTCTCGGCACCGAAAACATAGCAAAAATGTAGAAAACTTCCACAAAATGGGTCATAGTTTGCAGCTGTGTAATTGCTATAATTTAACTCTAAAGAAGTATTGTAGCAGTTTTAAATGTTGAATATATGATGCAAAGGCTACTTTCAATTTATAGAGAATCCATTTAGCTCCAAATAGTTTCAAATATAGAGAATAGTTTCAAATATAGAAGTATAGAAAATTACTTTAAAAATATGAATATTAGATAGCAAGGCTTTTTTTAACAAATCTATAAATTTTAATAAACGTTTCTGTAAAAACAGCGAACAAATTTCGCAAATGTTTTGTGTTTTGTACATTGAAATTGCCACCCTTTATACTTTAAAGACAAACTAAGATTAGCTAAACGATAAAATGTAAAAAATCGGTGCCTGAAAAACTGTTATGGAAGGTTTCATTTTTAATGAATACATCAAAAACAAAAATAGCTAGTTTGAAAAGTTTTTTCGAAAAATTGATCCACATTTCTATTTTCCATAACTTACAACAAAAGCAAAACACACAAAATTATGTTTCCTACCTATCTTTTGTAAATCCTAATTTTGGCTCTGTATAAGCAAGAATGTCTTCCCTAGACCAAGAAGGGTTTTGATCACCACATAACATCAATCTTACTTCCTCAGGACTGAAAGCACCAAGTTTCTCCATTGGGAAAACAACATTAAATCCAGCTTTAAAAAAAATTTTAAATATTCATTTCCTTGAAACTTACATTTTCTGGCTGTACAAGGCATTCAAAAAATTTGAAAACAAATGTTTCACAAAATATATGTCGAATAAAAAGATTTGTATGATAAATACTTTAAAAAGATTTATTCAATGATACCAAACATGAATTTTTTAAATTATTTAATACAAGCCTCTCTTCTTTATTGCAAATTTGGATATTTCAGAATTAAGTACTCAATTTGACTTACAGGTTTTTGCATTTTGATACACAGACTAAGCTGTAATCAACAAAATGAAAATATATTACAAATTGCTTAATGGAGAGCTTGAGAATTACAGATCAAATAAAAATGAACATGTTTGATACTTTGGAAAAAATTATCTAGCAATAGCAAACTCATCCCCAACCCACTAAGAAAGGAGCAAAGTCTAGTTTCTAGTAGAGTAGTCTTTCAATCTTATTTTTATTTACTTAAAATGCAGAATCAATGAGAAGACTTTTTAACACAACATTACTAATTAAATAAGCAAGTGAAATTGTTTTTCAATAGAGAAATCAAATCTGAAAATTTAAAAAAAAAAGTTGCTTCTTATTTAAAATTTTTTAGTTGCCTCCTGCCTTAATTACAGAGATTCAAATTTGGTGTCTTTTGATATGTTTATTTATTTTTTTCAAAATATCTACCAAAACCATTGCTTTTAATCTGATGTGCTTCTCGAGATAATTCTATTTTAAACAAATTGTATCTCATTTTAATTCTCATTGATTATAATGCCATCTATGAACCAACATGCAAAACCATACCAAAGGTAAAATTTTAAGCACAAGTCAAATCTGCAATATGAAACAGGGGTATCAAGACATTGATATTTATATATATATATTTATATTGCCCAACCCTTGGGGATAAGGATCAAATTTGGTATCATTAAAGAAATCTTTTGGAAATATTTGACAAATGCGTTTATAGATTTTTGATCTTCTGCATGTTTCTGAAAAAAATTTCACATTTCTATACTTCCTTAGCTGTATAATGAGAGTAATGCTTTAGATTCCTGTTTTAAAATTAATGTAGAAACAGTTATTTATCTGTTGATCATTGATGAACTTATAAAATTCAGACAAATTAATAAGAGTTAGTGGTAAATTACCTTTAAATGCTTCAAGTTGCTTACGAATGCCTTTATGTAGACAAAAATCAGTCATTAATTCAATATATTCTTCAACGTTTTCCAGTGATACAAGCTGAAACAAAGATACTTTTTTTTAAAAATATAAAAAGAATATCAATAATTAAAATTTATTTAGCAAAGAATTATTTTTTTAATAAGTAAGGATGAAATGCATCTCTCTCATACTTAAGGAAAGAATAAATTTTTTTAAAAATGAAAGGTAAGAATAATTTTTTTAATAATTTTTTTTAAGGTAAGAATGATTTAATTTAATGATATTCCAATTAATTTAATGGTAAACAAGTCTATTCTTAAGCACATAAAAATTGGCATATTTTTATGGGAAAACATTGTGAAGTAAGAAAAAGTTATGTTTAAAACTATTATACAACACAGTAAAATACCAAACAAACCCCCACCTATAATTTCATCAAAATAAGCCCCGCTCCACCTCACACATCGACCGACAGCTTCTAAATATCCTGACTCCCTCGACTATTTCTACTCTTTCAACTGGAATAAAACGAAGAACTGAAAACAGGTTCTAGAGAACATATCTGCTGAGGTCACTAGCCGTTTGACTTCACCCAAAATCATCTGTCAATGAACTGGGGTGAAAATGCTCGCTTTATTAACAACTTGTGAAGTCATAGCCTCTATCTAGGTATCTAAAAATTTGGGAGTTAGCATGTAAAAAAGAAATTTTAGAGTTGGATAGGGGTTGAGAAGATGAAACAGATTGCTTTCTTATCAGAATTCTCCCTGATTGAATGGGGGAGGAAGGAATAGGGCAATGCGAAAATCAGTCTCAGTTTCAAATCTTTTCTCAGATAGTACTGATGCCAATTTTTTGAGCCAGGATGACAAAAATAAGTTCTTACACAGTAGCAAATGAACTAGAAGTTATTAAATAGCATAAAGGTAATGAAGACATCATCACAAACATTTTAACATTGACAGAAAATGCATCAAAGATTGAATCAACACTACAGAGAAAAAAAATCATGGATATTAACGACTAGCCAGAAGCCATTTTCAGAAAAATTGGATAAGTTGCCTTTATTTTATTTATTTTTTTGAAAAAAAATATGAAAACGGCTTAGCATTTTCAAATAGGAGACTAGAGAAGTATGAAAGCCCTTAGCTTTAATGATTTTAAGACTTTTATGTATATTAAACAGTGATAAAGAAGATTTAATATCTCCATGTGTGAAAGGAGGTATGAATGTGATTCAGACACTATCTTTCAACTATGTGAATGCTGTAAATGGATTTCTTCAAGCCCTTCAATCTATGTGTGTAAAAAATGACTACACAAATTTTAATATGGCAAACACAGATCAAACAATGGCACGATTTGATGAGCCATATTCACGAACCATTTTAAAGTGAAATCATAAAATAAGAATTTCTAAAACAGGATATAAGAAGAGAAGATTTTGAGTGGCATTAGAGGCAATGGCATCTAGCCATCAAAACTTCACATTTATTATCAAGGTACTGAATAGCCACACCCCACTCCTGAACGGGCAAGATTTAAGAATTCCGCTCTACCATTGACGGAGCCTTGGTAGACAAGATTTGGAAGAGAGGCAATCAGGATGATTTGCAAAGGTTACTTGTTTTTGACAAAACGGAGATCCATACGGATCCACTTATTTCAGGGAGGATAAAAAACCTTAACAGCTTGTACAAGCCTCTTACAACCTGCTGATCCACTTGTCAAAAACAAAAAACCCATGTTGGGAACATAAAAAGGCCACCCTATCAAGATGTGAACATCGTGACATTTTTATTAAAAATTAGGTAGGAGCAGAGTCAGAAATTTACAGCAAATAAAGTATTTATTTCTAAATTAATATAGAATAACTAAATATTTTTCCCCAAAAGACAATGTCATAATCTTATATATATAATTCTTGTTTTCTATATTTGTCAATATTTTAATAACTTACATTAACTTTTTTTTATGTTAAGAATTCCCAATGATGTGATGAAAACAAGTTAGTTGCATTAGATTGATGTAAATAGATTGACTTTACAACAGACAGTTATATATAAAAGCTGAATGGCCTATTCTTTATTACTTATGATAGATCTAATTATTTGAGATATATTGTTTGGGATATAATTATTTGAGATATATATAATTGATATATAAGAATGAAACACACTGATAATACATACAATATTTTCTCCGCTTGGTTTTAAGTCAACAGCAGTGAAATTATAGACTTCTGATGGTGGAAAGTACTGGAATGTTAAACTAAAAAACAATAGGGATATTTAACTTATCAAAATAGTAAATACAATGAAAAGTTGAAAACTTTTTTTTTTGTAATTTTTTTTCTTCTCCAAAACAAATATTTGATAGATATGGTGGAAAGTTCGTATTTTGCTTAAAATTATGTAACCTTTATAACTAACAACTCAAAATTGCTTTAACCATTAAAGGATTAAATAATGAACAAGTTTTATAATTGATTGTAAAGTCTTTTATAAATCATGTGAATAGTAAAATTAACATAACATAGCACAAACACTCTCATGATTAAATTATTTGAGAAATATTTTATAAATCTGTAGCAATTTCACTATATTTTAATGGTAAGGTAAAAAAATCCAAATCAATAAAAAAAGGAAAGTTAACTTGGAAAAAATACCTTGAATCTGATCTTATGAATTTTTATTGACATTAATTAATTAGCATACTCAGAGTTTAAAATCATAATAGCTCTAAATTTAACCTAGCAAAGCTCATATATTCAAGTTATAACAAAATAAATAAATTAGCAACATGCTTCATAAAATAAAAGCATAGTTTTAAAAGTTTTTTAAATAAAGTGTTTTTTTATCATACTAATTATTTTAATTAAGAGAATATAATTAAGTCTTTTATAAGTATTTATGAAATTCCACTGTCAGGTCTCAATATTTTAGAATAAAATATAATACTATTATTGAACATTTTAAAAATATCCTTACGTTAAATCTTCTAACTTGACAGCCATTCCAGGAGCATTAGGCATTGGTATGCATAAGTTTTTTAATTGATTTATACGATCTTCTTTTAAAAGATTTCGGTCAGCTAAAATTAAATGTTTTTTAGAAGCTAAATCTTGAAGTTGCTTCAGGAACTTAGCTTGTAATTCATTAACCTGTTAGGAAAAAAAAGTACTTAAGAGTCAATAATATTATATAACTGATTGGCAAAATGGTATTACAAATTTGAAGAAAAATCTTCAATATTTATAAGAACACAATAATCTATTTAAGGTCAAAAATAAATAATAACACATATAATAGAAAAGCACGCTCCAGAAAGAAAATACTTTAATTTTTCATATTGTTTCGTTCATTGCAAACTTTTGTAACAAATGCATCTCTAGTAAATTCGATGTCAGTTTTTTAAGATATACTTAAAGGCAAAAAATTTTAAAAAAAGAATTTAATTGAAGCTTGTACAATTTCTTAAACTTTTATATATTAAAGTAGTTTGAAACGTGTAATTTGTAATATTAACAACACTGAATTGATGTTAAAATATATATCCTAGAAAAAAATTCCTTATACTATTAATTTTTTTAGCATTCGATAACTATTATACAAAAAACATATTTATTATTATTTTTCTTTCACTTGTATTATTAGTAAGCACAAACAAATTCTAAGTTGAAATTTTTTTATACGTCAATTTACTTACTTCTAAGAAATCTTCATAACCAAGAATGCCATAAAACCATGAATAAGAGTGTTCTGGTAACGGTTTCTTAGATTTTTTATTTTTCTTCATTTGTTCCTCAGATAACACTACATACAGATCATCTTCAGTAAATGAAGACACCATTTCTGCTACTGATGGGCTAGATAATGACTCTCTGTAAAAGATTATAAGATTATTTATTGTATTTAGTAAGCAAAGATAGTAGACTTAAATAAGAAATGTAATTTACCTATCTCTTATTTTGCTCAAAACTTCACCATGGCACATAATTTTCAAAAACGGACGTGAAAGAGGCAAGTCAACCAATCTATTATCTTGTAAGGCTTTGGCAAGAAAAGTTCCAATAAAATGGAAGTATGATTGAACACTTTCAATCATTTCACTGTCTTGAGGTAATGGAGCAGGAAATAAACCATAAGAATTACTGACATAATATCCAGGTGGCTTGACAAAATTATTTTCAATTTTCTAAATATAAAATAAATCAAATTAAAAAAGGATCCAAGTTTTATTCATGTAACATATTTCACAGACTTAACAAAAGCAAACTTTAATAAAATTTTATTAACCTTAAATGAAATTAAAACAGAAAACTAGCTTCTTATAAAAAAAGTTTCTAAAATTAAGCTTTTTCTAAAAAATCAAAACTGGGAATATTATTTTATTCATATATTACTAAGCACAAACACAAGGAGAAAAATATTCTGAATACAGAAGAGACATCATATTCTCGACGCTCGATTTCATATTCTCGATGCATCTTTCTTCAACAATATAAACCACAAAAAATAGTTCCAAAAAAGCAAGAACAATCTTGATGTGCAATTTCGATTTTATTGTTTGTGAATTTCCCGCTATTAGTTATATGCTACAGGGCAGGCATAAAAGCAATTTTAGATTTCAATTTAAGAGCTAACGAAGCAATTGATCTTCCTTGTAAATCAATGCAGGGTTCCTATACTATTTAGAGAAAGTAATATCCTGACTTTTGCAGGTTTTTCCTGACCTTTTACAATAAAATTCCTGACCCGCCATTTCCCATTCCAACAAAACTTTTAACATTGCAGTTTCAATTAGTAATAATATGCTACTCAGTCATAAGTATCATATATTGAATAGGATAAACACTTATATATTGAAGTGGAATTGCATAATACTAGCACTTTATATCCCAAATTACATTTTCAGAAATCTTGTGAAACATATTTTTAATTATCATGATTAGATTATAATTATCATGATTAGATTAAACTTTTAGTGTGTATTTGCAGTTAGATACGAAAACTATTTAAATAAAAAGATCAAGAAAATCTGTTTGATTATGGAAATATTATTTTATTTCATGTTAAGTGGAACCAAATGCATGAGTGTTGTCAGGATATGAAGGGCTAATCTAATCTCTGAGATATGTATCAGTATCCTCAAATAATATTTACTCTTAAAACATACTAGAACATTTGTTACATTAAGTTATTAATTTTTAAAAATCATCAATTCACTTCAAACTGACTTTTCTTTTAAAAGATAATATTGAAATATAAAGGGCAAAAAAGTTAATTACCGTATTTTTCGACAAAAGCGCCGCACCTCGATAAAAATGAAATTTTTTAAAAGAAAGTTATAGTAAGCGCCGCTCTGGCGCAAGCGCCGCAATGGCGCTAAACCTCGTATATCAGCATCCTTTTAGAAGAGCCCTTTGAATTACCATTTAGAATATCTGTATAATAAAAAATTAAATTTTTTTATGCATTTCATAAAGTAAAGTTTTAATTTCTGAATTATTATAAAAAATTTCTTTTTCAGCAAAAAAAAAGCAACAAAAAAAGTTTTCTCTTTCAGCAAAAAAAAAAAGAAAACAACAAAACTATATAAAATAAAGTTGTTCTTACCAGTTGGCACCGCGCCAAAAAACAGAAGAACAGCAAAAAAATATTTATATGTTCAGTAGCTGAATTAAGGCTAAACTGATTACAGAAATCCGTAAAACAATGTAATAAGAAAAATAAAATAAAAATTTATTAAAAGAAAGATTTTAAAATTTATTACCGTTAACAATTTGAGGAAAAACTAATACATAATAACGAAACAGCTAATAATAACGAAATAACTAATAATAACAAGAATAAGAAATAACTAAGCAGGCCCCAAAAAAATTCTGAAGGAATGAGAGAAGGGGAAATAAGTTTCACTTTCACAATCTTTGAGGGTGGTATTTTAGTGGGTAGAATGCCGTCTCCTTCAATGGAAGTAACCCAATGTAACTCAACTTAGAAAGAGAGAAGAAAATGCTTAAAGAGGGGTGTACCCCACCTCCTCCACGTGTCATTTCTATTGGAGCTGTTTAGGAGGAATCAACCAGTTATATTTAAAAGGGGTTGGGGAAAAGAAAAGGGTATGGGACCCCTAATCCAGCATTCCAAAATTCAGCACTTAATCTGATCTAATCTTTTTTTTTTTTTTTAAGAAATTTATATTGATAAGACAAAAAAAATCAGCTATATTCTTTTTATTTGGAATTTTATTCTGTTGAAGTAACTGTAACTTACTTTATTTTATCTTTTAAAAATAAAAAAGAAGCTTGAAAAAAAAAATAATAAATCTGTGTCAAAGGAAACATCTGTTTCTAAAGCAGTTTAAAATGAAGTGAGAAGTAAAAACACTTGCATTTCCAATGAACAAAATAAAGAAATAGAAGTTGGAAAAAACTGATCAATCAATCTTGACAGCTGTGCTTGTGCTTTACCCCCAAATTTCCCTCTTCTGTTTTACCATAAAATGGCCACACCCAGTTGACATTGAAACTACCAAGTGGACAACAAAATGAATTCTATCCCTTTTGCGGTTTTTTATTCGATTCATTATTATTTTTTTTATTTTGCAGCTTTTAATTTTTTCTTGTTAATTGTTTCTTGCTTGTTTTTTTTAGTTTTTTTTTATTGTTATTAGTTTTTAGCTTGTTTTTTGTTGTTATTCATTGTTAGTTTCTTAGCATTAATTGTTAAAAAAAAATTTTTTTTTGTAGTTCCCTGTTAGTTTTTTTTTCTTCTTCTTGCGAGGTAAGCGTCTTTTGCTGAAACAAAATGTTATCTAAAAGAAAAAACGAGAAATATGATCTCGCTCCAAAGAAGAAACGATTATTTCTTTTTCATAGGATTCTGATTATTTCTTCTTGATTTTATTACATAGATTATTATTTTGATTAGTAAAATTTCTCTTAAGATGGGCCAGTTTTAAATTCACTCCATCATAATCTACGATCGAAACTTGACTAAATTTATTGGTTTTTCTGAAATTAACAGTGGAATTGAATTATAGTAATATTTGGGGGCCATATTGGAATTTCCGAAAGAGATCCGAAGTTCGACATTTCGTCAGTCCCGTGAGTGTCGGATTTAGGGTCCTATTCTTCCTTTTCTGTTCGCTCAAATTACAATTGCCAAGGCGCTAAATAGATTTCTAGCTTGCGATTTTTCCTTAAGCTGGGGGTGGATACAAGATGCATACCTTTTAAATTTTCTCCTTATGCGATATTTTTTAAAAATTATTATTTCGTTTATTTTTTTTCTTACAGGCTGCTGCCGAAAGTTTGCTAAGAATTGGCGATGTTCTGCAGCAGATCGCGATACAGGCGAATATTTCGTCGACTTCGTTATTAATTTATTTTAATAGTCCTTTCAGAAAATTATTTCATCTTAAATAACTTTCCTTGACAAATTTTTTTGCTACTAAAAAAAAAATATTTCGTCGGATGCGCCGCTGCATCGGAAGCGCCGCATGTAGGAAAAAAACAACTTTTATTTCGATAGCGCCACGGCTCTTCCGCCGAAAAATACGGTATATACAATTAAAAATTCAGATTGAAAAATTATGCAACTTGTGAGAAAAATAAAATCGAAAATATCTTTTTCTTTCAGTATTTTTAAATTTATTTCTGTAATACTGTAAGATTCCGAAGAAACTCAGGGGCTCCTATGTTATAGAATATTTCTTGACATATTTTGCTGTTTGACAATTTTTGAATCAAGAACATTCAGTTCTGTTGCAGCAGTTTTAGTCAATTTCGATTTTCTTAATTTCAAATCATTTATCTTTTCTTTTATTTGTTTTCTAGAAATTTCAGCTTTTTTATTCTCTTCGTTTTTTTCTTTTTTTGGCTTCTAATGCATGTCTCCATCTTGTTCTAGATCCTTTTAGAACATCTAGCTTTTTTCATTAATGTCTATGTTTTTATTCCATTTATAAATGAAACATAATCATACACACGCCTTTGTGAAATAATAGAGTCTTCATTGAGGTTTTCAACCAATAAGCTTTTACTGATTGAAAACCCCCCTTCGACTGTTGCATTACCATGAGAGAGGATGAGAACAATTTTTATAACCTCCCACAAATTTTCAAAATTTTCTTCTCTGTGCAAATATTTCAAAAAAAATTATCTAATCTCTTTTGCTGTGGATTAAACTCTAAGAAACTCTTTTGCTCTTCTTTTTTTTTTGGCAGCATCACAAAACAGCAATAATTCTTTTTTTGCTTTTTCTGCCATTGTTTCAGCTACCCAGTTATTAACATGGAGAATTCCCAGACAGGTATCCATACTTTGTTGAGCAATGGATAAATGTTGAATGATCAATTCTGGAACTAAACTTGAAATGCTCTGTGTCATACTATACAACAATGGACTTTTTTCGACCATTGTCAAAAGGAGTTTTCGACATTCTAACTTGAAATATCTCTTTTCTTTCTCACTAATTTTTATCAAGTTCAGATATTTACTTGCTGCAAAACCCATATTCACAATATTAACACTTAATAGATTGTCATTGCTTGTTAAGTCAATACTTGCCTTTTTTTTTGCAGTGTTCTATAACACATTTTCTATAACCGACATTTTTACACGACGCCAAAAAAGATTTTGTGTTAGTTCAAATATACTGGAATATAAGTATGAACTGAGTGGTTTGGAGGTCTGAAAATTTAAAAGAAAAGGTTGGAATTCTTCAGAAATTAGCTTAAACGATGCTAATTTTGGTAGCATTATCGTATCCTTTACAGTCTTCGATATTTTTATTGAGATTCCGGATGGCTGAGAATTTTTTTCCCCTTCTATGTACCTTTTAATGTTGTCAAAAATTAATATGGCCCGCTCCACACAAGGAAGATTTTCCAGCCACCTGATTTGGCAGAACTTTTTTGGAAAAATGTTGCTACCAGATATGTTAGTATACTCTGCTCGTCTAGCAGGACTATCTTTGAAATTATAGAATATTCCTCTCAGAAACTGGGTCACCTGCCATCCTATTTTATTGTGACCCATTTGAAATGCACCATGGATAACGTGAAGGCCACATGATCCAATATTCATCATCTTAGGAGCATCTTCATTTAATTCAATGCATGATTTTAAAAGTGTCAAAAACTTCCAATTCACAGCAGGATCATACTTGCTTACTTACAATATTTTTTCAAGT